GGGGGCTACCCGAGGTTACCCCACCATGGGAGACTTAAAGATGGGGGTCTTCAACCTCCAAAATCCCCCCCGCCGCCTGGGGAATTCTGGGAGTTGAAGTCCACCCATCTTAAAGTCGCCAAGGTTGAGGAACCCTGGGCTAGCCCACTCTTCTGGTCAGGGCAGATGTGCTGGCATGCAGCTGTATAGCTGGGTGGTATTATTGCTCCAAATCACTTTGAACCAGGTGGAGGCCTTTCACCGCCCCTGATGGAGTTACATTTTGCTAGCATGCTACGCTGTGTTTTGGAGAAGTCCTCCAGGGATCCCTTCTTGGTTTCTCTCTGACTTTAACTTCCCTCAACAAAGCAAATTTATACCAGGGATGCTGATCTGGGGTTTTGACAGGCCTTTGAAGTAGGCCAGGTCAGGCTCCACAAGAATTCCACTTTACTGAGGTAGGCTGTAGCAACAGAATCTGGAAAGCCTGACAGTGTTTTCTCTCCCTCTCTTTTATTCCAATTTTTTTTTTCCTGTCCCAGGCTTAAATCAAGTTTTAATAACTGTGGCCACAGTCCTTCTCCAAGGTCATCTCTACATTCCCCTCATGTAGATGTTAAAAAAGAAAAAAAAATGGTGGTCTGTGTTCCCAGTGCAGCTTCTGAATCTTTACAGTAAGTTTCTGCTTGTACAACATGCTAAGCCATGATTTACAAATGAAAATCAGTAGACAAATCAAAACCTCACTGATGCATCCTGGTAGGAGGAGATTATGGCTTGAATAATCAGACACCAAATCATAAACTAGCCATATTTAGCATTTTGGGTTACATAGAAACTAGCTCATGAAGTTCATTTATGGTTCAGTCAGTGTATTGTATCATATTAATGTGGAAACTGGGCCAAACAAATGATTCACTTAGCCATAGCTGTGTTGTGACATTGCTTGTTAACCATGGTTTATGACCAGTGTGTACAAGCGCTGTATGACACCTGGCTTTCCCTGGCATACTGAAAGCCACCCAACAAAAGTGGGTGCTGCAAGACCTGTAATTTGAGAAGGTTTTGCCCAGGGGCAGGGTGGCGATGCGGTGATTGAAGGCACCCCCCAGGATTCTCCCCTTTAATGCTCCCACATGTGGTCGATAAGCGTCGACACCGACTTGATGGCATGTAATCAGATGACATCAACCCAAAGCTGGAAAAAAGGGCTGAAACAATTGCCTCCATTGGGAAGGGCATTCTGGGGGCTCCAAAAGGGTCCCGGGTAGGCCACATGGATGCCCAGACTATATTCTAAATAAAGTCATTATAGCATTAAGTTTGACGGAAAGACCAGAGAAGTCGTTCATTTTTGGAGCAAAAAACTGGCTCATAACGCAACGACGGAGGAGCCGCTCTCTGCGCGTGCTCAGAGGCACTCTTCTTATCAGGCAACAGCGCTGCAGCGAAAGCAGATCACCGCAGTTGACAGGAGAGCCACGTGCTCCTCTCCGTCCATTTCCTCGTGTCAGGGGCGTGGTCACGATGCCTGACACGCCCCTCCGCGCATACGTCGTTCGGGTCACGCCCCCTCCCGGTGACCGCGCTTCGGATCCGCGCGGCCTATCCTTTTCCCGCTATCTCGGACCGCGGCATTTTAAGGGGAACGTTATTATATAAAAAAGCGACTATGCGTTAAAATTTTTAAAAAGGCCCCCCGTTCCCCCTCCCAGAAACAAAAGGGCGCGAACGGATAGTAAATGATTAAGGGAAGGCGCCTTCGCTAGCACTAAACTGAGGTCAAGCAACGTGAAAGGTCATAGAAACGTTTCCGGGTCGTCGCCGAGGTGACCTTCGAAAGGGGCGTGGTCTGCGGCAACTCCCGCCCCCGGGGGCGGAGCGGCGGCCATTTTGCTTTCTGCCTAGGTGCGAGCCGGAGGCAGCCGCGGGGACAGCGAGAGTGAGAAGCCGCGCCGTCTCTTCCTCCGCCCGGCTCGCCCCAGCGATGCTGTCCGTGCGCGTAGCTGCTGCGCTGGCCCGGGCCCTGCCCAGGCAGGCCGGCTTGGTGAGCGAGGGGGCGAGAAGGGCCGATGTTGCTGCCGCCGCCATCTTGGGCTCCGGCCTGGCGGTGACATTGACGCGGCGGCGCCCTCCGCTGCCTCCTGGGGCTGCTCCAGCCTCCTCTCCCGTCCCTTCCCTGCGGGCCTCGCTGCTTCTCGGCCTCGCGGCGCGCCGGAACCCCTCTCTTGGCCTGGCGGTGACCCCGGCAAGGTCACC